TTTTCGACGTATCGAGATTTTTTATTTGTAAAAATGTAACTGTTTTTTATATGTAAAAATGTATTTTTTATTTGTAAAAAAATAAGTGACGCCAACTGTGTTCTTTTTAGATTAATATGATGAAAACTCACGTTTATAAATATTTTTATAAGAGGCGTGAACTTCCTATTAAATGCTCATCCGCAGTGCACTGTGATAAGACCGGACTTCTTGGGGCATCTAAAAAAATTAACAAAAAAAAAAAAAAAAATGAATCCCCTCCTTGGAGTGGCTTTAGCCCTTGCTCAGTAATGGGGAAACATTATCCACTTGTGTCACTTTAAATATTTTATTATAACCAATATTGTTTTCAATCAAATTACTCTACGGAACATGCACTTATGCAACTTGTTGAAGTTATCAGTGGAGCATCTTCTCATAACAAATTCACCTTAGGTATATTTCTTGACTTGTCAAAAGCATTTGACACCGTTAACCATCAGATTTTATTAGAAAAACTAAAATATTATGGAATAAGCCACGAAAACCATAAATGGTCTACCAGTTACTTAATAGATCGAAAGCAGTTTATTTCTCTAAACGATGGCTTTCAGACAAACAAACTTAAAATATCATGTTGGGTTCCACAAGGCTCAATCTTAGGTCCACTGCTGTTCTTAATCTATGTCAACGATCTATATAAAGCATCAAATACTATCTCTACTATTATGTTTGCAGACGACACCACTTTATTCTATTCTCATAGTAATATTATCTCTCTATTTCAAGTAGCAAATAATGAACTAGAACAAGTATCAAACTGGCTTATTGCTAACAGCCTATCTTTAAACATTGATAAAACTAAGTTTTCATTTTTCCATTCTAAACGAAAGTTTCAATAAATTCAAAAATCCTTACCAATGCTATATATAAATAACAAAATTGAACGCTCATTCACAAATAAATTACTTGCTTCAACATAAGTCAAAAAAAAAGCCGAAGGTTTTCAAAAATATTTCCCTAAAACATTAAACCGATACTATACTCGATCTACCGGAAGATTTAAAAAACCTTTCCGTACATCAAAACTTACGAGCTTTGCCATTTCCTATCGTGGCCCAATGCTATGGAACCATTTTATAAGCCTGAGTGGTAAACTTAAAGAAGCCAATACTTTTAAAAAATTTAAAAAGAACATAATTAAACTTATTGCCAATCAAGATTCTTTACATGATTTTTTCTAAAAATACACTTTTATTTCTAATTTTTATTACCAAAGGTTACTGGTGATAAGATTTTATCTTCTTCAGGTTCTCCGGTCTCGTAACTGTTATAAATAATGAAATGTACTTGTATTTAATATTTTTAAATATTTAATTGGAAATTACTTTTAATTGTAAATAGTTACTTGACAAAAATAAATAAATAATTAAAAAAATATAAAAAAACAATCAATAACAAGGTTAACTAAATTATCAAAAGTTTCATTTAATCTTCCTTAGTTTAAATAATTTATTAAAAACCCGTCAAATTTTTTTTTATCAAAAAAATTATTTTAACAAAAAACCAAGTATATCTTGAGAAATAACTATATAACAGAATTTTAAATAATGTAAAATAAATTTATTAGTTGCCATGGTTACCGAGTAAAATAGCAGATATTCAAAAATGTTTAGGCCAGCCCGACCATTCTATCTCAGTAACCGAAAACATATAAGATAAGATTTTCAGGCATATGATTAACAACATAGTAATCTACAAAGTATACTAAAATTGTTCTAAAATACAAAGTATTTATAAGAGTTTTAAATACTTTATATTATATTATACAGAATTTTTGAAAATGGCGTATTTTAAAAAAATGCAGTTTTGTGAACAGAATCTTTTATAAATTAACAGTTTTGTAAAACTTTTAGTTCGAATTGTACAACTAAATGCAATAAACATATAGTGAAAAATTGTCTGAGACAGAATTATTTATTTTGTTCCAGTTATTTTTAGTCATAGGGTACATTAAAAGTATGCATTTTTCTAATCCTGAAAAACCTTGACCACATGCACGCATTGAATAAACTATTATATTATTTACATCAAAAGTTTTTTTCCCAGAACATGTCTACGAAGCATAAAATTGAATCTTTTCATTACAGTTATAGCATATTGAGCTGAATCCTTTTTTTTTTTTTTGGAAAAACATTCTGAAAAATTTATTTTTGATTGTGAACATTTTTTTAAACATAGTTGTATAATTACATTTCAGTATCAACAATTCGATAACCAACAGTTTTGTTTTTATCAGGCTGAGTTGTCTCAATTATCTAAATTTTTTTTGAAGATATAGAAAAATTTAAAGAAATCTTACAACAAATATGGTCATTTTCATAACTAATTTTTTGTATTTTTTAGCTTGAGTACCTAGTTTGATTCTAAATGATTTATCTATTGTTAAAAAAATTTATAAAACAACAAAAAAATAACAAAACAGCTTGCAATTCTGATTAAAAACCTGTTACTATGCGTGATATTAGGCAGATTAAATTAACCCAGTCGAAAGAACTAATTTATTCTCAAAAACTAAATCTTACTTTAAGAAAGGGTTTTTGAACTCGAGTTCAGCGATAAATTTTGTTATGATTTTTCAAGATTCTTACACATTAAAGCTCCTTAAATAAAACCAACACACTCTGGGTTACAGAGACGTCATTTAATGATTTTTCAAACACCAACGCAACAAATTATAATTTTTAAAAATTATAATCAGTTGCGTTGGTATATAGACAACGTCTATATATAGACAATGTTCTATATATAGACAATGTTCTAGATCAAGTTAAGACAATTGTATGATATAATATATATATATATATATATATATATATATATATATATATATATATATATATATATATATATATATATATATATATATATATATATATATATATATATATATATATATATATATATATATATATATATATATATATATATATATATATATATATATATATATATATGGGTGTATATGTATATATATATATATAGGCTATATTATATGGAAGATATTAAAGATCAGCGTAATGTGTTTAAAGTTGCTAAGGCTTATATCGGAACATTTGGCATTAAGGAATAATGAGAGACTTTAATGTCCTAAATATTAAATGGTTTAATGGTTAATTTTATCAAGTAGTAGTAGCATTGAGTTCCTATTTCGAGAAACAATTTTTGATACAGCGTGTGGTTATACCAACATTTTAATTAAACAAAAATAACTCATTCAGTTTTATTAGACTTTATTTTAACATTGCATTTTGATAATAATTTTGAGCTTGAATCAAAATTCATTTTAGGCAACGTATTCAAAGGTCATTTGTTACTTAATTTTAAATTTATCATTTTTTTAAATGTGCAACCAATTTAGAAAAATGGATTATAAAAGAGGTTACTTCGCTAATGGTTAGGAATTTATTTGAACAAGAGTTAGTTAAAAAATTTTAAAAAAATCCAAAGTTATTATATAAATATGTGACTTCGCAAAAACCAGTTAGACTAACTATTAAAGCAATCAGAAACTCAGTGTTATTAACAAATAATCAAACTAAAATTGTGAAAATTATGTATAACCAAATTAGTTCCGTGTTTGTTAATTCAAAAATGAATTTTAACGTAAATAATATACTATTCCTTGTTTTCATTTAGCATTTGATTCGTACAATTTTCACACAAGGACATGTTAAATTCAATATTAAGTTCACACTATAAGTAAGAACGTGAATATTGAATTGAAAATTACCACAAAATAATTTGTAAGATATATATTGTCAGATTTTCTTATTCAGTAATTTTCTAGTTTTAAAAATTTTTGAAAGTTTTAACAATTTTTGAAAAACAAAATTTTGAAAAACATTTTAAAACAATAATATAATAATGACAATAACAGGGTGGCCAAACTTTTTTTGTCTGACAAAATGAGGATAATTTAGGAGATTTTTAAAGTTTTTAAGGAGATTTGCCGGGAAATATGAAAAAAAAAGTATATAAATTTTAGGAGATTTTAAAATTTTTTAACTTTTAAAATTTAGCTTTATATTTAACTGACATTTTCTATTCTGAAAATACAAAGTTATTTTAAGTCAACTTAATCAAATCAAAATTTTAATAAAAATAATTTTCATGCTCAAAACATAAATATAAATAAGAAAAAAGAAAAAAAATAGAAATAAGAAAAAAAAGCTTAAATTTTATCAAAATAAATTTTTAAAGTTTTTAAAATAATATAAAAATATTGAAAAACATTTGAGTAACTTATTTTCTCTCAGTATACAACAGTACTAAGGGGTTGTCCATAAAGTACGTACGCTTTTTTTTCGCTAACCTGCAATTTCCTATACGCTTTTTTGAGTACTCTTTACCTTCCTAAAAGTAACAACGCTTTTTACTTACTAACCCAACGGTTAGCAGATAAAAGTATCACTCAAAAGGCGATCAAAGTCCAACTGCTAATTTAATATAATTTATGCGTAAATTAATTGTTTGAGAAAAAAACAAAATGGAGCGCAATAAGAAAGTTGCGTAAATTTTGAAGTAATTTATTCTAGCGCTATATAAGAAAAATAAACTTTGTTTACAAGGAATATTATAAAATAATAAACTGTTTCTTATTTACAACATAATTTATTTAGAACTTTTGAACATTAATAAAATGCGAAAGAAAAAATGATTTTAATTTTTTACATCTTATATAATTATCTATATTGAAATTATATAAATACTACTATAATATAATGCTACTAGTTACATAAATAGTTATTAAATAATCTCTTTTCATAAACACTACTAGTTATATAAATAGTTACTAAATAATCTCTTTTTATAAATACTACTAGTTACATAAATATTTGTTAAATAATATCTTTGAGGTATGAAGTAATAAGTACGCTTTTTCACATTATTTTATATTTCTGAAAAGCAAAGGTCTAAGTGTAATGCATTCGGTTATATTTTAACAAAGCTTATTTAAGCTTTCTACTCAAATAAAAAATTAATAAAGTGTTAAACTGTTGTTGTTGAATTATATTCAACTTTCGTTTCAACGCGAACAAAGAAAAAGGATAAATAAAATACATCTACAAATATGGAGTCAGTATAATGATTTGTTTGTATTATTAACAAATCATTTTTTAAATTAGGATTTTTACGAAACTAAATAATAACTAAAATAATAAAAACATTTTATAACATAGAGCTGCATTTTGAACATGACAAAACATAATCAGGGATACGTTCTCAAGCGCGATGATACCAATTTTCGCATATTCCGCATTGCACCATATGTCTAAATATAATCCCCAGTTAGACAAAAAAAAATTACGTAAACAGAATACAATGCAATGAGTTATATTTACCTATCTTTAATACAACTATCCGAAGCTAACCAGACTTGTCTACAAATGCAGTACAAGGAAAAATTGAATTTTTTTTCTTTGCAGAAAAGTCCGAAACAGCATAGCTGTTTCGGACTTTGGAAACTCAGTAAACTGATTGCCTTTCACACATTTTAGCAAATGATTTCTCATTTGAAAAGCGTCAAAAGCAACGTAACTTGAATTTGATCCAGTATCGGTAATATGTTTTATAAAGGCTAATGCGTACAAACCACAATCAACATAATTTGTTTGTTGTTGCACCGGTACAACGCGGACAGTTAATATATCTTCATTGCAATGCATAATAGCACAAATTTGCCTAACCACATGGTTTTTTACTTTTCCACGAAAAAAACTGTCTAAAAGAAAAACTTCACTAACAGAACATCCAAAATTACTTATAGCCAACCAGTGGGCATCGCCATCATGCAACACTTGGACAAAAGATGTTTTTTGTACACGGAACGATAGATTTTGTCCAAGAACTGGGTCTTGGAGACCGCCTACACCTGTGATCATCTTTTGCATGGTGTGGATTACAATGTCAGATAACAATTGGTTTGTTAAAATATCGTTCAAATCATTGGAAGAGAGATTACAGTTAGGTGATAAATGGTTTAGTCTTTTTATCTCGAATCCATCATTTTCATTAATAGTAACTGACTCATCATCAATAATTATACTATTTTCATCAATATGTTTAATAATGTCGACCTCAATCGGCTCGGTTTTGTGTTTTTTTTCCTCTAGAAATATTTTAGAAGATGCAATAACCATATCTTTGTGATTACCTACGCGATCAGTAGGAAGCTTCATAGGTTTACGAACAGGAATTGGAATGTTCCTTTTTAAATGACAAGGCAACTTGATATCCAATGGAGAAAGCGGAATTCCTGATTCTTTAGTTCTATTTTTTTCAAGTTTTTTAATGAGAGAAGCAAGAGTGCTATAAACAAGAACAATTTCTTCTGAATTTTCCTCAAATTCATATGTTAGGTTTTGAATTATTGTAAGCATTTCCCTAACATTTACTCCAGAGCAAACACTTGTAATTTTTTTAGATTTTTCATTCCAATCTTTAATGACATCTAATTCTTTTTTAGGTAGAATTGAACTTTCCGGCCTACTAAATGGTGGTTTTTTGTGTGATGCTTCGTAATCATCAGCATCTAAGTTTAAGATTGGTGAGTTAAGATATAATGATGACAAAGCACTCCATGACCAAGCAGGGTACTTTCTAAATACTAAAAAAAAATGTTTGCATGGATATGCAGTTGATATCCAATTTAAACAAGTACATTTTGGCATTGTAATCTCATCACCAAATGATACAAAATATTTAGTAGCTGGCTTGGTAGAACTTAATACAGCAAAAACTCCATGTTTAATCATGATTACTCCGGACAAATCAAGATTCTCAACGTTACTTTTTTTTATTAGGCAATGTTTAACAAAGCTATGAGGACGGTTGTAAAGATAACTTGGCACCCAACGTGCATACCTTCTGTAACGTGCATCCATTTTAAAGTTGGAATCAGTATAGCTAAATGAAATAATATTCATAGTAACAAAGTTTCTTTAATAAAGTATTAGGAAAAACCCAATATTGTGTAAATGAATGTAAATGATTTGGTATGTAGTACCATAGACACGATATCTTTAAAATGCAAAATGTAATGATAAGGAAAAAAAATTTTATATTAGTTACGTGAACAATCTATACTATGAATTATTATTAAATATATAGGGTAAAAACCTGCTGATAACATACTTATACCTAAGTTTCTGAGCTTGTTTTTTTTTTTAACCAGAGAAAGTGTTTGTTGTTTTTATTTAGGTGTTTATTACTTTTTAAAATTGGTACAAACGTAACGAAACTTTAAAAAAAATGATACCTGTCAAGTTTATCAATGAAGAAGTCATCAATAAGCAAAGTTAACATTCCAGTCAATGATGAGTTTTTATGTCGCTGTAAATAAGTATATTTAAAAGACACATTCTGCCTTTCCACACCATTGTTTGTATTGCAATTGATAAAAAGACGATCTTGCCTGTACCACCAAACCCACCTCTAATTTAAAAAAAGCTTTTTTTTATTTTGTTTTGTTCAGTTAAATATAAAAAAAGTAAATAACTTTTTATTGAATCTTCCTGTATTTCGCAAAAAATATATATTAAACGTTTTACTTGCTTCAAAAATTTTATATTTTACATACTTTTTTAATTGGGAGCCAATACTTTTCTATATATTGTTTAAACTTAGTAAAGCTTTCTTGACTCCAAAATTCAGACTGTTCCAATATTCTTTGAGCATTTTCTTCCTCGTCAATTGACTTTGACCAAGCGAGTCGTCTTAAAATACGTAAAATATCATCTTTTCTGTTATAGCAACCACTTGATAGCTTTTTTAGCCAACGGTCCCAAGACTGTTCTCTGTGAAAGTCACATATAAATACCTTACATCCTAAAAAATATATTAAAAATCAGTTGATGTATTGGATGTTTGTATAGTTAAATTAACTTCATGTAGAATAAATAAATACTAAACTTGTTTTACAAATACGCACCAATAAAAATAGTTTCGAGAGCACGTATCTCAGCATTACAATAATCAGTCATGCAATAAAGAGGTTGCAACTCTTCATCCCAAGAATTTAAGATAACAAGTGCTTCAGATATCGATTCAAAAGTTTCGCTTTCGCTTACAAAGGTTGCTACAATTTGATAATCCACATTTGTTTTGACAACCAAAAAAAACAAAGGTAAACAATATCGTGTCGTTTTGTATGTTGCATCCAAAAACAACATCTCATTCCCATATTTTTTTAGCAGTTTTTTTTTGCCAAAATGCTTGGTATACAAACAAGAGCTCAGCACTGTTACCCCGTTCTTTAGGTCAAAAATAGATATTGGCAAATAAGTCAGCTTCTTTCCATTCTTTTATTTTGATTTCTAAGCAGTCTTGGTCGATCTAAAACGTTAAATTTTATTGTCTGCTTTAGAAAATGAAATATTAAATTATAAAAATTAGTAACATACCTTTGTTGTTGTTTTTAATTATATGATTGAGTGATTAATTGATTGAATTGGTTGATTAAAAAGATTGATTAAATGAATGAATGACTGAAGTTATCTTTAATATTTAACAAACACCTAAAACCTCTCTTAAATAGTCCTACATATTATAATATTTGCAACATCAAAATTTATTTATTTTGCATTTTTTAAACTCTATTATCTTTGCTTTAGACGCTCTTTGACCATGTGGGAACAAATTATGTCAGTTCTTGGATAAAATCTTCTGTTGGTTCTAGAAGGAAGATTTTTCTTTCCAAACATTTCATTGACAGTAATATTTAAAAGTCTTCTCATCTCACGCACATTAGAAACACCATCTTTAATGTATTCAGAAATTTTAACTGATAAGCGTGGATCAATTTTTTGTGAGAATAGCTCAATCTAAGAAACGTTAAAAAGATTTACTGTTATAAAAGCTAATTAAAACAAATATCAGAGTTTTATATTAGAGATTCTTTTTTCATAGGTGAGTGGCCTTCACAACGACTAAAAAGTCCACATGCCCCAATTTAGGATTTAACGTCGCCACCGTTGTGTGTAGGTACTTTATGAATATACAAAAACTATTGGTTATAGTTAAAATAAGACTATTTAAACGCAGTTAAGAAAACTCTAGCATTAATACCTTGCCAAGAGGGTGATTTTTGTGATCATTTAAGCAGTCTCAACAATAATTTTTCGACTAATTACCACATCCTTTTTTTGTAGCAACGAATATTTTATTTCTTTTGACTGTTGCTTCTTGCGATAATTACTGGAATTAATAAGCTGAAAAAAATATTTAAATAAGAAAACTAAACAAAGATTATTTCAAAAGTAATAGATCGACAGTAAACAGTTAAGAACTTAATAAAATATTGTGAGTGCATAATAATTTATAAAATGATTTCCTTTTTAATAGAACATTGTAATGTCAGTAGATTTGTTACCTTGAAGTCAGTGAAATATACCACTTCTTTCATAATGGCTTTTGCAGGACAATTAAATTTTTTAGTATCTTGTATGATAACATAATCAGTTATGTATAAATGATCCACTTTCTTTAAAAAAAAATAGCCAAAGTGAACATAAATTTATTTGACAACGATGCGAATTGTAAAAATAGGAGAATCTTTAGCTAATTTTCTTTTGCTTCATTATGCTTCCTTTTTGCAGTAGCGTTCCGATCGAAACCATGGTGACAATTGTATCTTTTTGTAGATAATATAATATAAGGAGTAGCATAGTCTTCAGATGTTTCCCATAACACTTTATGTTGGGTTCCATGTATAACTAAGCAAGGAAATTAGGATATCATGTTTTGTGTATGATTTCAAATCATGTGATTGTGCAGAATTATTATGCACACACATTAGAACAACGATGTAGTTAAGGTGATTTATTAACTATTGAATCATTATATTTCTAACTTGCACCATTTATTTTTTTTGTGTGTGTCGCACCTCTTATTATATTTAAACAATCATTGTTTTCTTTTTTTAACATTATTTAAAAATCTTACTACAACTAACACAAAGTGTAAAGAACATCATTTTAAAGGGATATTGATTTTCCTCAATAGCGTTAAATAAAATTTTTGGAAAAAATTTGTCTTTTCACAACAGATCCTTGTTCAAATCTATTCAGGTGCATTTAATTTAACTTTATTTTGATTTTAATATCACATTTAATTTGATATTAGTTAAAATATAACATTTCTATAAAGTTTCAAACAAATTTAGAAATAGAATAAACCAATAATTAAAAAAAAATTCAAAAGACTGAGCTAAACTACTAATAATGAAGAATGATAATTACTTCATCTATATAACGCACTTATTTTTATTTATAATAAAATCTGAAAAAGGAAGCCAAATTTTTTCTTAGTTAATTTTTGGTCTGGGTTTTCGTAAGAAATATTTAAATATTATAAATTCATATATTTCGCGCGTATGCAGAAATAAAAATAACAGTTATTGTTTCCCCATAATTATTTTATATTACAAATAACATTAATTCTTTTTAAAATATATACAAGTATAATTTGTTTGCTTTTACAGCGTTTTAAAATAAAAGTTCCTTGTTTATTTATCTAATAACATTTAGTTACACAAAAATTACAGATTTCAATAGACACACGCTGTCAAATTAAGTACCTTCATGAAAATCTTTATACTATGCAAAATAAATTGCACCAATACGGCGTATATAAGCACCAGTTTATAGAATCAATTTTCTTTAAATCTAGCTTAAGTTTATTTTGTCCAAGTCAAAGTAATTAATTAAACATGTTAGGTATATTAGAAAAAACAGTAAGTTTTTCAAAACAAAGGTTCCAATTACGTTAAAAAAAAAAAAAGAAGCCTTGTTTATTGATATTTTACTAAAATTGGATTGTTTACATTTCCAAATTGAATCCAGTGGGTCTCCTGTAAAAAGAAAAAAAAAGAAAAAAAAGAAAAGGCTATTAAATTGTACATCCAACTGAAAATGTTTAATATATAATTTCGTTTATAGTTTTTTTTCTGAAGCACATGCTGATATTCTGACAACTCAATATGCAAATTAATCAGAAATTAAAGAAAAACAAAAGCAAATAAAAAATGTACAATAGGTTAAACATAAAATGATTTATAATTAAAAGTTTATATTATTTACAGTGATCATCTATAAGACGTGGGTGCATCCCCTGTGTATCCACCAGATTAAATAATAAGTTGAGGAATGAAAAATGCGTTTTCAAGAATATAAAAATCAAGGTTGTTAGTTAATGATTAATAAAAACTGATGAAAATTACACCAATGTGTTGTTCCCATGAATCGACGTAATGTAATTTTTTAAATATAAATACGTCATTCTAGAAGAGTGGAAGCAACTTCTTACAACCAGATGTCAAACCAATAACTTGTTTTGCCAATCAGAGCAGAGTAATTGTCATAGTACAATTAAGAACATTGGCATTTAAGATTTTTTGAGTTAGTTCTTACCTTAACTCAGATTAAATTTTTTTATGTGTGGTTTTATTACTACTTACTTTGGTTGTGGTCATGTTTGTTTTAATGTTCCAATCCAATGTCAATTAATGGTCAAAAAAGTAAATTCCAGTCATGTAAATTTACTAAATTAAATCCATTTATCAACAGTTTTTTGCTGAAATAAAAAAAGAAAAGAAAAATAACATGGAAAAAATTGAATTTTCAAAATCACCCTAACTACACCGAGTTCACAAAACTTTAAATATTTATAAAAGTAAATATTGTCACTTTTCCAGATAATGTAAGCTTGAGTTAAAAATATATATTATACCTGAACTTCCAAAGCTCTTTGGAGTGGAAAGGGCAGCAAACCTAATAGAATTACTGATTTCATAACTATGAAGAAATCGAGTAGCTTCCTCAACTGAATCGCAAATGCAAGGCTTGGTGTTGCCAAAAAATTTAAACTCATTCAGATATTATATTATATTATTAATCATATCAAAGAATTAAAAAAAAAAACCTTTTAAAGTTGTAGTGTCTTCTTCTACTTTATATGTATCAGTAATGTCTTCATAATCGGACAAATCTGAACCAGAGCTAAAAAAAAACATAATAATCTAGAATAATGCATAATAGCTTTTGCTATTTTACTTATTTTACATGATTTTGATTAATAATTAAAATTCATCAATAAACTTTGTGATGAGGAGAGCAAATAAGTAAAACTAGTCATTTAATTCATGTTCAGTTTTAGAAGCTGATAAGGATACACGTGGCAGAGCAACGTAAGCTGATAAGGATACACGTGGCAGAGCAAGTAAAAGGCTGCAAATTCAAGTCATTGTGTTACTAGTATATCGAATTCCAGGCTCTGTAAAACCAAAATCTAAACGCCATGTTGCAAATATAAAGCATGGCTAATAACATAATTTTGAAAGTTGAAATTGAAATATAACTAGCAACATATATATAAAAAGATTATTTATTTTTTTATTAGTTACTAATGGCGTCATTAGTTATGTAATAATGTCATTAAGACATAACAAACTACGTAGATGTTAGTCCATGACAAAACCCATTTTTTTAATACACAACTTGTTGAATCATGCTATAAAAAAATTCTGGAAAATGACTGAGATAGTATTGATATTAAATGAGATCCAGTGGTCAATTACATGTTCCAAGAAAAAATGTTATCTGATTTGAGTTAAGAAAATTGTGCTTTACAAAAGAAAAAAGGTTGCCATTTCTTTTTTTGTTTTTCACTGATTCAAAGAATATCTTATAGAATAGACCTATAAAACTCATACATTATCTTGTATACTTCTTTTAGATCAAATCAGTGTCATTGTTGTTCAAGTGTCCATAGACCTAATTTATGTATTGTCTGTATATGGAAGATGTTTTGCAACTATTATCAATTTGCTAAACCCATGATGTATTTTTTAGATTATCTTTTTGATAATCTTCGACATAAAAAGATGACAGAGTGATGCAAAATATTCCATGTGTGGATTTACTAATAAATTATCAAGTTTCAACACATTATTAGAGTGCTCGTTGGTTGTTGAATGGTTTATTGCATCTGTACACTGCCAATAAAACTCTGATATATTTAATACATTTAACAAACATCAAAGTTAGATACACAAGCTCTAGGAGGGTGCATTATTAACCAACTTAAGGTGAAGTTGCATTTATTTGAAAAAAATTTGTCCAATATGTTCAAGTCTTAAAAGATAATGAACATATCATAACAGACTATAATTAGGGCATGGTTGTGACAATGTCATGGACCATGGTTACAACAAAATCTATGTTCAGGGCCAAAAACTAGTGAAAAAACTAAAATAGTCCTTGTTCTTGGTACCAAGAACGAAGCCACATATTTCAAACTTTAAATTAAAAATGTAAATAGCTCTAAAAATGTAAATAGCTTTAAAAATGTAAATAGCTCTAAAAATGTAAATAGCTCTAATAATGTCCTGTATCTTGTAATAGATAAAAAAAAAAAAACCGTTCATAATTATTAAAAAAACACAAACCTTTTTATAGAATTATTTACCTTATTGACATTATTCTACTTACACAAAAATGTTAACTAAATCAAAGACAATGAAGAATTGAATGTTATGAAAACAAGGCACCGTGATATTGACAAAACAACAATTATAAAATCACAATAAGATTAACGGTTTCAAAACAGATATAACAGTGGCAATTAGAACAATATTGAAGTTCACTTTTGTTCCATCACGGCTGTAAAGGTAACATGTGCTCTCGAAGCTTTTTTTAGCATATTTTATTTAATTTTGCATATGTAATTTCCGCATAATTACGTATAATTTTCAAGTAGACTTTGATCGCCTTTTGAGTGATACTTTCGTTCGATAACCCTAACCCAACATTTTATAACATTTTTTAAAATTTAGTGTCACCATACTTTTATAATTGACCTATTGCCCCCTTATCTCAGAAACGCCATTTGCAGACCTCCTTTTCCTCTCCGAGCGTACGTACTTTATGGACGATCCCTAACTCTAAGTCTGAACCATTTCATTAATTTTATTGTTTTGGCTTATAATAGTTTATGCATTATACTCAAGACAAATAAATTAGGAGAATTTAGGAGTATTTGAGAAAATCATCTATACATTAGGAGAAACTAGGTCTTTTTAGGATTTTTTTTCAAATACTAAGATATTTTAGGATATTTTAGGTGGAGTGGCCACCCTGAATAATTTACTTGCTTTTATAAATACAATAGTTATATATACAAAGTTAGAGTTACAAACAGTAAAAACCTGATAAACAATTATATATTTATATAATTATAAATACAAATTATATTGAATAAAAACGTGAGATAAAAACAAAAATATTATTATTTTTGTTTCTGTCTCACGTTTTTATATTTTCTTTTCTTTACATTCTATACATCTTTTAATTTTACCATCCTCTTTTTCTTTTTCAGAAAATTTCCTCCTAAAATTGTAAATCACAGCAAATAGTTTATTGACAAGGCATTGCTTTGTACCAAAATAAAATACCATCACTTGTGTTTACTTAATTAAATAAACTATCATTTTATAAAATGCATTGCATTAATTCAAGTTATTATAAAGAAAGAGTGTAAGAATTAAAACATATAAAATTCTATTTTTCAAAGCAAATATTCTTAACAATTTTTAGACATAAAAAAGTAAAATAAACTTTTATCATAAAAATCAGTAAAAGAAAATGCATGTAAAATGGCAAAATAAAACAATATGTTATTACATTCTGTAGCCAATTGTTTCTAACTGATAGTTTATCATGAATGTTATTTCAAAAAGGTATGGTAAGTAGGCAAGTAGATAACACAGTTTTTGTGGCGATAAAGTATAATTAACACATATGCGCTTGACAAGTGGAACTGGTTTCTTGGTTTCACATTGTGGTACAATGACTAATAAAAAAAAGAGTTATTACAACACATTTCTGTATAATACAATCATTATTATTAAATTCACAAACAATGTAAGGAAACAGTTCTTTGTATCATTTGTATTGACACAAAAAAGTAAAAGCAGCTTTATGTTTTGATTAATGGCACATTTATACAAAATAACACACTTATACTAAATGTGTTCTAGAAACACGAGTTAAAACATATAAACACAAATAAACCATGTCATATAGTTAGACCTACAAAAATTTCAACCCACTAAATTGTTCTACAAAAAGAACATCTAACAACAAGTACTGATAATGTACTGAGGCCTAAACTTTTTTATTTTCAACCAGTTTATGACGCTTTAGTTTTTGACCAATTTATTCTGCAACCTCATTCATAGATTTTTGTTTTTATTCGCTTTGAGATAAATTAATTTTCAATTGATTATCTAATTGGTGTTTTTAACGTTGTTTTTTTAAATTACGAAAACTTTTTTTAAAGTACAAAAACTTTTTTTTTAAGTTAGCAATTAACAAGTTTTCCAACCTTCTGATTCTGAAGACAGTGTTTCAACCACTGCACCAAGGCTGATCAAATTTGGCTTGTATTCAAATAAACAACAAAGTATACAAAATACATACTAGAAATAGTTATGAAATTGAAAATAAGCTAGGTTAAATATTACTTAGGTTGAAAATTCAGTAGGTTAAAAATACTATAGGTCAATGACTTAGCAGGTTAGAAAACTAGTAGTAAATGTTTTAGTTATGTGTAAATATAAAAATCAAAAATATCAAAATCACGATTTACAAATATATATATATATATATATATATATATATATATATATATATATATATATATATATATATATATATATATAAATTATGTTAATGTATTCTACAAATAGAGTGCTCAATGTTTTACAGGGCTTTGGAGCTGCTGGTGTTTTCACAAGGAACTGAAGAAGCTGAAGCTGAAACATTTATAGATGGAGCTAGCTCCGGAGCAAGCTATAAGCTAGCTCCTCCTTTTGATAATTTGGAATTTTAGGGATTCCTAAATAATCTAAAGTTATTTTTTATATGAAAAAAAAATTAAAAAAAAGCATTTAACGTATTTTCTAAAAAAAGCATTTTACGTTTTGATATTGATATTATAGGATTAGATTGTTTGATTGCTCACCTTGAGACACGTAAAAAAATTAATATTTTATAAATTATACTTGAGCTGACATATATAAAGTTGTTTTTGTATGCATTCAAAAAAATGCTTGCGTATTTTAGAAATTAATTTTGATCATATTGTTTTTTGTAATATGTTATGTAGTTTATGTTGCTGAATATGATACATTAAAACTTTGAAACATTACAGACAATCATAATCTGAAATAAAAAATTCAGATAAAAGTTTTCTAGATGAAGCAGGATGAGGAACATGACAAGCATTGATGACAGGAGTGCAGCAATTTAGGGAAAAAATCTAACCTTAGTTTTCCTTGCAGGGTGTAAACATAAAAAAATTGAGGTGATGTGTTGCATTGTTCACACTTTGCAGCTAGGTAATTGCAATGCTTTAAAAGAAACATACACTACCCAATTTTTGGCAAAGGTTTGGTATGTTGTGAAGAAAATAAAATACTCAAAATATATTTCTAGCCACAGTTTATGTTGATGGTAGTAGTAGAATATTGTTAGAAGATATTCAGATATATGATTAGACCATAAAAGTAATATTAGAAAACAACTTATATTAAAGATCCTAAAATATTAACAGTAGGTCAAAAAATAAAAAAAAACAGCTGAATCAACTACCGCACTTCATACAGTTTTAGTTGAATCTAAAATATATATATATATATATATATATATATATATATATATATATATATATATATATATATATACAAATATATATATATATATATATATATATATATATATATATATATATATATATATATATATATATATATATATATATATATATATATATATATTTGTTTGATGCATTTATGGTGAGTGATATTTATTGGTGATTAATAAACAAAAGAAAAAAACTTGTGTAGTTTTGTTATTCATGCATCTAGGTTAAATAAAAATGTCAGTTAATACTAGAAATAATGCATAAAAAGAATAAAATAAAAGGTCAGTAGCTTTCATAGGTTGATATAACACAGTCTTCTTGTTGATTAAATTCTTGAAACAAAAACTTGCCTATTTTTGATTTATTGTCAATGATTTTTATAAAAAAATCTTTAAAAGCGCAAGAGAAAAACGGTAAAAACACAGACTAGTAGGTTGAAACATAGTCATAGTATTTAACTTAAACTTAAATACTAGTTTATATATAATACTAATATATTAGTACTAAGTTAAATACCAAGTTAAATAATATGACTATGGTTGAAATGAATTTTCCCGATATTCGGTCGAAAATCAAATTATGGCAAATCGGTTGAAATTAAAAGTCTGTGAAATAGGTTGAGAAAAAAATCGGTCGAAATAGAAAACATCATAAATCGGTCGAATTAAAAAAGGTCTATAATTGGTTGAAAACATTTTAGGCCTCAGTAGAACATATAAAAATTATTTACACTTTTTAGTAGATGTTTTATTTTGTAGATCAAGTTTGTAGGTGCAGGATTTCGTTGGTTGAACTATGTGACACGGTATTCTGTACAACAAACAATTTGGGTTTAAAAAAAATCATTCTACGGATCACGCGGTAATTGAGTTTGTAAACCATATATCGGATAATTTTGATAAAGATTATTTTACCTTAGGAGTTTTTATTGATTTATCTATAGCATTTGACACTGTCAATCATGAAATCCTTATAAAAATATTAGAACTTTATGGAGTTAACAACTTAAACTTACTTTGGTTTAAAAACTACTTGACTAACAAAAAACAATGCATAACCTATGAAACAAATGAAACCAAAAAAAAACTTATAAGTTGCGGGGTTCCTTAAGGATCCACCTTAGGACCATTATTGTTTCTAGTGTATATAAATGACTTATTTTTAGCATCTAAAAAATTATATCTTATATTGTTTGCTGACGATTCCGATCTGTTTTATTTACACAGAGATATAAAAATTCATTTTAAAATTTTTAATGAAGAATTATCTAAAATAAATGAATGGTTTAAAACTAAATATTACAACTAAATTCATTCTGTTCCACAAATCAAATAAAGTTGATAATATTCCACTTAAACTGCCAAATCTTTTATTCAATAAAACAGATGTAAAAAGGGAATCTATTGTTAACTTTTTAGGCGTAATTCTTGATGAAAACTTGTCATGGAAGTTTCACATCCAATCTATTGAAAGTAAAATTTCTTATAATATTTCCGTACTTTATAAAACAAAACCAATTTTAAACGCAAAAGCTCTAATGAAAATTTATTTTACATTTATTCACAGCTATCTTTCTAACTACAACATTGCATGGGGAAGTACGAATTACGGAAAACTCAAAAAACTTTATAGTAAACAAAAGCATGCTTGTTGGATTGAATTTGGGGCAAACAGAGCTGTTTATTGCGAACCGCTATTAAATCGTCTCAAGGCCTTAAACATTTATAAACTAAAAATTTACCAAACATTACTTTCCATGTTTAAAGTGAAACATGGAATATCTCCACTAATAATTCACTCTTATTTAAGCGAAATATCTCATAAGTTTCCAAAAAAGTTTTCAGAGGATAAATTTATTGTTCCGAGAATTAATTTAAAAATAAGTTCTTATCGAATTCAATATCGAGGACCTTTTTTATGGAAAAATTTTATTAAAAACTTCATTAAAGAACACTGTTCTTTAAAAAATTTTCAAACAGTTTCTAAAAGAATCTTACTTCAATTAGATATTAATTCAATAGACTTAAAATATTTTTTTTAAAAGGTAATTTTAAAATAGAAAAAACGCTTCCATTAGCACTAAATATATTTTGTTATATGTGTCAAATATATTTGTATTAGTATTCAAAACTTTATTTATTTTTAAATTTTTAATATAGTTGTCATTTTATTATTTGACAAAAGTTATGTACTCTTTAACGTTTTTTGTATAATATTTTATTCATATTTGTTTATAAACTTGTAAAGAATTTGTAAACGAGGCTCAGTGATAAGACAGTCATTGTCTTCTTCTTGCTCCGGCCATTTTTTATAAATGTAAAATGTCTTTATTGTAAATATATGAAACGGCAAAAAAAAAAAAAAAAAAAAAAAAAATACTGCCTTGACATCAGTTTTTAATTATATTTTTGTTTGTTTATGTAGAGGTATAAAATTTTAGGATTTTGTTTTGCATAAATTCAAATACTTTCTTTATATTGTAAAACTGCTTTATTTACTAATTTTTAACTAATTTGCATTGTTTGTTGAATTCAATTTTAAGCTTAACTTTTTTAATTTAGATGCTGCAATTATCTTTTTGAAAATACATAATTTATACCTTGAAGCTTTCTTGATATCTTTATTCACCCATCTGGGTACTGATTTGGATAAGTCGAGAGTGGAGGGGGATTTCATATGAACAAACTTCTCAACTAGTTTATTAAAAGTCAATGAAAATATTATAACATTGGTTAGCGTCTTTGTCATAGAAGTTCGTATGTTAATTAATATCATTAAGTGCTTCATTTACAGCTTCACTTATAATTACCACATTTGCAATCTCTGCATTTCCAATGCAAAATTTGTTGTTGTATTTTTGCTTACTGTTATTTATTGTCCGCAAACAATTTATCAACTTTAAAAAGCTCGAAGAATCAGTCCTATCTGGAAAATAACCTTTAATAGCTGCAGAAGTTGTGGGATTAAATATTGCAAGAGCAAGTGGTACACTTTGTTTATCATCTCCAGAATGAAGTTATTTATAAAATAACTTAAAACTATTTTTTAAATTTGACTGAAGTAATTGGTCTTTATCATATACATTATAAAGTAACTTCCATAATATTTCACCAGTACGTACATCAATAACAAAATGACACTGATCAAAATGAAAAGCAGGGAATGTAAAGCATTTAGAATTTAGTAAATTGTTGTGTATGTTTTTGAGAATAAAGACAATCATAAAAGTCATTACGTCTGGAGTGATGTGCATTTAAGAAAAAAGGAAATATTGTAAACGATTTGATGAAAACTTTGGCCAATTAACTGGTTTTTTGTATTTTATTTTATTGATTTCAGTTATTAAATTGTTTGACAAATTATTTTCTTCTATAGAAAAAAATAATTTTTTTGATTGTTCTCTAAATTATCTTTCTAAATTATATAGTTTTAAAAGATTAGCTGTGTATTGCAAAAAAAAAAAAAAAAAAAAGTGGCTATCTACCTTTCGATGTAGTTGTATATACTGATGACGGTATTTTTTCAGTTAAGCAATAAATAATTGGAAGGAGGTTTAAGTCCCAATCTAAAGTTACTCTTTTGCCAATTTTTAAATGTTTTTCTTTAAAATGTCCAGCACAAATAGCTAAATTTTTACTGGGGGTTTAACTTTCGATTGATAAATTAACATAATTTTCAATTAATAAATACTACCCACTGTTTAAGGTGGTACAACACCAAATAAATAAAAAAATGAAATAAACCTCCAAAATAAAAATGCTTTTAAATACAGTTTACTCAAATGATTTAAATAAAAAAAAGCAAAAAATTTTTTTTTTTTAATTAGCATTAGGACCATAATGGCGGAAAAACTATTAAAAAATGCGTTTTTTGACTAAATTTCAAAACATAATATCTAAGGCT